CACTTAGGACAGAACAATCCCATGCACCAGTGCAGCCTGGGGACTGTGGCTAAGCAACTCAAGCAGAAGGGAAAAGGCATCAGTACTGGGAGAAAGTCATATAAGAAGCCACAGGTGTGGATAACAATAGCAGTAATTCACTTACCACACCCAAAAGACATCTGATCTCATTGACAGCTCCAATACAGCCCAGTAAGCCCATCAGTATGGTAACAGCCCCAACAGCAATGAGGATGTATGCCCCAATCTTAAAGGAGTCTGATGAAGTCTCTGGGGGGGGGAAGAAAGTCAGCCATCACAAGTATTTTCAGTCAGCGCTATTCAAAGTGCTAATACATCTAATACTAAAGAGAAACTCAGGGGGAGAGAGTGGCTAAGAGACGCTAGATAAAAAGCTTCTTTGCTCCCTCCCCAACCAGCACCACCTCCCAAGCATTGCAGGACCCATTTAAAAGCCTCCATTCAAGCCTGAGGTAACTAGAACTCAGATACAGAAGTAGTTCAGATGGACAGGAAAAGGCTAGCCAGCAATGGGGAGTGGGGAGGGTGGAAGTCAGAAGACACTGATACCCCTGGCTATGACTTACAGGAGAAATCTTCCTGCCCACCATTCCTGGATCTTTACCAGAGTTGTTGGTATCTGAAAACTTTTAGAGCAGGGGAGTTATGCTATTGCTTAAGATGATTTCTCATCTTTTTCCCCTACTCATCCACGCCTTAAAAACCTTCACTTTGTTTATTCCTATCAAATTTACAGTCAGGAGCAGCACACCATCAAACACTGTCAACTAAATGTACCCCTCTACTGAAAGAGTTGCAAGTTCGATGTTAGCCAGTTAGTGCTGGAGGAGCTATTCAAATTACCTGACATGTCTAGTTTGACCACAGCAGGCTGATGAGCCTGTGCTCATTATGGGGCAACTGACAAGACCATGCATATGCAGTGCACGAAAGTATATTCCATGTCAAAACATAAAAAGTTGCACTTAATCCTGGCAGGAGTAGCCATAACTGTCGGAGGAATGTATACTTGACTGGAATAGAGGTAGCCCTGACAATTATACTCAAAAATCAAAGAGAAGAGGAAATTAAGGAAGTGCTCAGGTATCATTTCAGTTAACTCCCTTCCCTACTTTCCCCAATTATTAGATAGTGGGAAAAAGTCACAGAAGTGAAATTACAGAAGAAAAATATGAATTTACATTTCTACCTAGGAGAAATTTTATCATCTTTCAATTCTCTTATGCCTGAAGGGGAAGCATGCCTGAAAGCTTGCAGATAAAAGATTTGTTTTGCAAATATCTAGTTGGTGTAATAAGAGAGATCAGCTGTACCCAGAGTTCTGACTGCAGAACAGAAGCTCGCATTTAGCTCATCCCTGGCAGACTGTCCACCTTGTCATTGGGTGATGAAGTGAGACAGGCAAGCACTAGGACAAGCATGCTACCATGGGCACTCCTACCTGAAAGGAACAGCTGGTTCTTCCACCAGCCAGCCCTTCAGAAATCCCCCAGTGCCATAGAATAACAACTTTTACAAATGCTGGAATTTCCCTGTATTCTGAAACTCCTGGTATGACTTCACCAGGATGACACACTTAGTCTGGTGGTCAGTTTCCCCAAGCCGACTTGTTTCCCCTTCTTCAGCCTCCCTACCATGCAACCACCACTTCGGGATGCTGGGGGGGGGCGGAAAATGGCTAATGATCAGGGCTAAGCTAGCCTGAGCCAGCTCTTTCTGCTCTGCTTGTTTAAAGACTGGGATACCTTACCACACCAGTGTTTTAACAAACACTGGTGAAGCAGAGCAGGATGACACTCAGCTTCCCTGGCCTGCCCTTCCTTGCCAGCCAAAACCCACACAGCTTTAAAAAAAAACAAAACAAAAAAACATTCACTAATGGGAGAGAAGCACTTTAAGGGAAGCAACTCTTATTTGAAGCCTTTTATACAATTCCCTGTAGTCAGGCAGACAATGGTTGGGACTTTCAAATGCTTGTAGTTTCCTTCCCCACACTGCTAAAAAGGCATTTTCTTAAATTCCACATGATTTAAAAAAAACAAACAAAAAACAAAACACACAAAAAGACCCATCAGTAAGTTTCCAACCCCAAAGCCAAAGGTTTAAAAAGAGAAAGAAAAGCTGTGTTCACGCTCCTCATCTGCAGCACATCTCGACTCTTTGCAGAGGGCTGTACTGGCAGAAGACTCCTGTTTTCTGTTCTCCTGCTCCATGTTTTCCCCAGTTCTGGGCAGGCAGCCAAACGAGTACAGAGACACAGGCCCCTTTGGCAGTACGCTGGAATGCCCGATTGTGCAGAGCTCCCTCCCAGACTATGAGGGTTACTAAAGCAGAGGGGAGGAGAGAAGCAAGAGAAAGGAGGGGAAGGGGGGGAGGGAGGAGGGCACGGGAAAAGGCAGCAAATGGGCTTAGTCCAGAAACCCCAAGGAAAGCAGCCAAGAGTCCCATTTGCACAGTCAGCAGAGAGATTATGGGTAAAAATGGGAAAAAAACCCAGAAAAGCCACACATACTTCCCCCTCAACCCCTTCCTGAGATGCCAATTCCTTAGTGAAGCAAAGGACAGCGAAACCCTACACCCTGCAATATCCAGCTGCTGTATAAAATAGTGGTCCTAGCATCCCCTATTGCAGGGGCAGGCAATTATTTCAGGTGGAGAGCCACTTACTGAGTTTTGGCAAGCTATCGAGGGCTGCACGATAGGCAGCCAGGGCAAGATAAGTATTAATTTTCTAAATGTTTTAGGGGCCCTGTGGGCCAGGTAGAATGGTTTGGCAGGCCGCATCCAGCTTGTGGACTGCATTTCACCCACCCCTGCCCTACTGTATCACAGCTTACTGCCAGGGCTCTTATGTATCCCTTTGTCTATGCAGCTGAGGGGTTTCTTCACACCCTCATTGCTTTAACCTTGTGGTGCTTCTCCTTCCTGTAAACCCTGGGTTAAAGAAGTGTAAGCACTGTCATTCTGGGGTTGTTCTATTGCAGGTTCCTCTTCCATATTATCCAGATAATCACCACAAGGCAGGCAAAGCCACCTGCAAGGAAGGTGAGAAGGAAGCAGTGGGACAGCTACCAGTCTTCACTCAGAGGAAGACAGGGTAGCAGCCACTTGCTATCCATCTAAGATAGACATTCACTGCTGATTCAGTTCAGACAAACTGTCTTCTTGGATGTATGCAGGTTTAAGTATTTTCAGTGTCCTTCGAGCTGCAAACTAGGGACTTGGCAGGTAAGAGTGTTTGTATGCAACTGCTTAGTTGGATGAAGGAGAGAGATTTGGACTCTTAGAAGTAGTCCCTATTTATAGGAGGACTTTTAAGAGCATTTGACTGGAACTGATCATTAACCAGATTAGAGAAAAATCTATTCACTACTGTAGTTCTACCAGCCCAACCAGAAGCTGGTCTCTATATAAAACAACACTCTTTGGCTGTGCTGCTATATCATCTCTCCCCACCATGCTTTTGTATTTGAAGGAGCTAAGTCAGAGGACCGGGTCTCTCATACAGCACAGGAGGGAGGAAAATGGCCTTACTCAAAGCTGATATGAAAGTGAGTTTGTCAAACAAGATCCATATTCCAAAGCCCAGGATCACAGCGCCCAGGATCTGAAAGATCAAAAAGAAAAAAGTTACTAGCCCAAGGATAACACCATTATCCCATGGTTCCTACACTTCTTTCCTGGGAAGAGATATAGAAAGCATCCACCAGCTGTACAGGAGTCAGAGCACCTGCTGTTTGGAATTTCTTCATAGTGCTTTAGTTGTACATGCCGCTGTGCAAGAGGATGACTATGACATCCAGACAAGTTTCCCTTTTATGAAAAGTCTTGCATCTTGGGCTTCTGGACTGCTGCAGTCCAAAACACTGCACATAAACTGAACAAAGAGGGTGCATGTCATACAGGCAATACAATAGCAAAAGCAGTGGCAGCCATACACTGGGCATGCAAAAGCAAATGGATGGCAGCAAGATCCCATGCAGGGGACAGGTGGGAAGGTAGGTGCTGCCACTCAGTGGCCCGCACGCATAGAACCCAGCTCCCTTTCTCCCCATCCTATGCCCCCACTTGCTCTGCTTTAAAGTCTCAGCTAGGCATGGGACCCACAGACTACTTCCTGTATGGCAGGATGCGTTGCTCCAACAGCTGCCTGAATGCCACTGCCCAGCCTGCCTTGCTGCTGCAATTCCCAGCAGGATGAACTGAGTGCCTGCTTTCAGCTAGGTAGCTGGACTTGATTTGTTAGTCACTGTCCCTAAGGATTAGTTCCTTCAGGTTATGACAAAAAACCCAGGAGGGGTACAAGTGGGGGTGGCAGAAGGGTGGGTGGGAGGTGCAGGGAAGCAGGGGAAAGAGAGAGGCCTGTTACTAGTTCAAGGAGGTTTTAGTTGTACTGTTTTCAGTGGTCTTTCTGGTTTAAAGTTTTGGAGGCCTCCTGTGTGCTCTATGAACTTCCTCCTCCATTAGGCAACAACTTGGAGGTAGATGTTCTGGCAGGGCATGTTATGAGACCTCATGGCAGCCAGGCCTTCTGACATTTGATATATTGTGTTTACAGGACAGACTAATAAACATGATCATCACGTATCCTTAACTGCTGTTCCCTTGGAGGGTCCCCATTGCAAGATACCAGAACACTGTAGCTATGTTTTCATTCCTGTGGTTCTAAGCCTGGCACTGAATTAAGTAGTTAAACTCTCTCGCATACCTGTATGCAGAACCATAGCTAGACATTTCAGTGCCTAGTGCAGCTCACGTGCAGAGTGTCACTACATAAAAATTAAAAGTAATGCATAATAAAGTAAAACAAAAAAGCACTTACGATATCATATGGTAAAAGCTTAAGAATAAGTGTGTGCAGCAGAAAATACAAGCAAAATATGCCCATGCGGTTGCAGTAGCTTCTTAGTGTCCACTAGGAAACTTCAGGACGAGCGAGAACTTTTGTTGGGAAAAAAAAACAAAAACAATAAAGCTTCCTCCCTCCTGCCCACCCTTTGTCTTGAGGACATGCTGGAAGCAGAGTCTAGAAGTGACCACAGTGGCAATGGCAGTAGCAAGGCTGGCATGAAGAGTCCTGGAGCCCATGAGAGCCAGGGTGACTGCATCTTGCAACTTGAGTGCCCTTGCAGTGTCCTGGTTGATTCCCCCCACCCCACAAACCTAGCTTTGGCTCTGGAAGCAGAAGAACAGGATCAAGATTAGTGCTAGACAGGAAACAGGAAGTTTGGAGGATTGAGAGCAGGGCTAGGGGCAGATACGGTGGTCCGCTCCCCCATTACACACATTTTGAAACTTTCAATCCTTCTCACGTCTGCAAACCAAATAGCACCTCTACTCAGACCAGGCATTCATTGAGCAAAAGATGCAGTAGTAACTTAGAACTGTGCAATCTATTCTTCTGTTTGTATATCTTTTTCTTGCCCATCCCACAGCACATGGCTCTGTGCTGGAGACAAGTCTCTGGGGGAAGAAGATGGACTGTTCAGAAATCACTGCCAAAGTTCATGCCCCTCACTCACCCTTGTGCCTGCTTCTTAATAGCAGTGGGAAGCTAACAACAGCTTCTCACCCTAAGGGGCATCAGTTCCCACCCTGATCCAACAAGACTGGGCTGAACCAGGCCCAGGCTAAGATGCCCTGGGAAAAAGTCCTCCTTCCAAGGGATTCCAGCCTGCGGCACTATCCCACAGCAGGGCTGGGAGAACAGAGCAAGCCTGGAAGTTTGCTAGGACATGCAACAGCTGGGGTTTCCTAAAGCTGCTCTAACTATATTCCCAGGAACTGCTGAATTTACAGTTTGAGAGACTGCCTCATGCTTAACCCATGGGTTTATAAAAATGTTCATCTTGAACAAAACAAGTGATTCTAGCTGCATGTGACATCTCTTTGAAGCACTGACCCCAAGGTGTCATTCAAGTTCTGCTGTTGCTGACAAAAGGCCGAGCTCATGTGGAGTACAGTTCCTGGGAAGCCATCTGGTATAAGGCACCAGGGCCCTCCAAGGCCTCTGGACACTTTCCCCTTTTCTCTCATCTGCAGCTTATGTTTTCCAGGATCTGCTAGAAAGCACTGAGGAGGGGAGAAGACAACACAGGCAGATGTTCTGTGGTGATGGCAGTAGTGACACCCCTTGTGGAAAAGGCCACAGGGCCAAACTCACCTGTGCCCCCAGGCCAGATCCTGTGGTGGAATGAGTCAGTGCAAGGGTCAAACACAGACAGACATCACTTGTCCTCCACTCCCTACCCCTGCTATGTGCAATAGCTAGGGCTCTGTACCTAGGAATCCGGTGGTAGGCCCTGCCCCTGGCACTCTGGGAGCCCTGGAGGCCAGATGAAAATGGCTCAGTGACCAGATATAACCCCAAGCTGTATGTTTGAAACCCCTGTTTTAGACCAACTGGATCAGTATAGCTTAGCAGTTCTCAATCTTTTTTAGATTGAGGCATTCCTGGAGAAACTTGAGGTGCCCCTCAGATGGTTCCAGCTCTAGTTTTCACTTTTTTTTTTTACTATAGAAAAATAAAGCTGGCTCTTTTGCAAAGAGCTCAGAAATCCATAGCTGTGGTATTTCTATGTGAAATCTCTGTATTTACCTTGCAAATCATGCTTGCCCCACAATGTTAGCACTGCTAGGTTTGCATCTCATGGCACACTTGAAAGGATCTCAGGGCACCCCAGGGTGCTGTGGCACTCTGATGGGGAAGTAACTGGTATAGCTAATGGAGCAACCCCTTCTAGATGCCTTGGGTTCAGATTGGCATCTTTCTGAGGTGGGAAGAGAGGGGGCAGGAAGAGTCCAGTTCCTGCAACAGGAACTGGAGTTAGATAAATAAGAAAAGCAAGCACTAAGCTTCACATTCCTTCCCCATCTCCCTTCCTGGGCTCTCCCCTCCTCTCCGCACTTCCAACATATAGGAGACAGGAATCCAGCATGGTCTGACTGTGACTTGTTTTGGCCCTGGAGGCTAAGTCAGCAGAACACATCTCAACAGATTAGCAGACCAGAGGCATTGGGCTGAAGAAGGGACCAGCAGCAGCTTTCACAGAGTCCCTTATGCTGCAATAACTTTTGGCCTGTCCTTCCCAACTACAGCAACAGAGCTAAAGCCCTGCTCATCACCCAGAACCAAAAAGCTTAGTTAAGTAACAGAGCCATACCCAGTGGAAGATAGCCCAGTGTCAGGCCTCAACCTCTACTTCCTTCCTCAAGAGTGATAGTTACAGGGCTCAGCTCAATGCTATCCAGGAACAGCCATGTTCTGTAGCCAGGTTATTTAGGCTCAAAATTCTGCCCAATAGGGAAAGAGTAGAAGGGTGGGTTTTATCCTGGGTAATTTTCTGTACCACTTTATACAAACACTAGAGGAAAGTACAGCAGGAAGCTGCCTAGTGCTGTGGACTATGTTTTCCTTCATCCTCCAACATAGTTCCAGTTGCATCAGACATGCTCTTCCAATAAAAAACAAACAGATGGGCTAGTCCCTCATTAATTATCTAGCAGAGGCTTCTAATAAAGATTGAAGTTCTGGGCCTGCAATGTGGCTAGTCCACCCATTTAAACTGGGCTGTAGGTCCTCATCCTAAAATAATAATTCAAGCACATTGGAAAAGCAATTTAACCCTGGACCCTGAAGAGAAGCAGCAGCCACCTGCTCAGAAGGGTTTAGTTTAAAGATTAGGATTGCTGACGTAGGTGGTTTTTCTTTAAGAAAAATATTCACCAGTCCCAAATAGCACATACCATGGACCTAGTTCGTTCTCTCATTGCACCACACCATCCCCTCTCTTCCACCTTGGCTTCAGAAACATCTCAAGATTTGTCTCCTTTAAGTGGATGGAGGGGTGCATAAGCAATTTTCTTTTGTATTTAGATAAACCTTTCCCTAGAACTAGACACATTACTGGTCTCTCCAAAACTATTTTCCTTGGCTCAGGTTTCATTCCCTCCCCCTAACCTAGTTAGGGGCTTTTGTAACCAAGCCATATCCAAAAAATGGTAGTAGGTGGCCCCTAATGTTTAATCCAGGGGTGTTCAACCTGCACATGGCACTTAAGCCCAGGAAGATGCAGGTCTTAATTTGTGGCATGCCTGCCAAGAAGTTTAGACTCACTGGTTTAAGTCTACCAGCTCTTAAATGGACTCAAGAACCCATTTTAGCCAGTGCAGGGACACCAGAAGTTAGAAGTTTTGGTTCTGGGAGCAGAGAAATAGGGTCTGGACAAATATTACACTTTGACTTCATCTCTCATACTTCTAAGACTATGCAAGCTTTCAGAATAGGATGACTTCATCCAATGTGGCAGAAGCTTACCCCCAGTAGAATTACTAGTAGAATTCCACCTGCTTAAGCTACACAAGTTTAATTTTTAAACTTAAAATAGGTGGCATTTATTCACATCCACCCCAGGTAACCACTTGTTAACAGGCTACTTAGGTGGCCAGGCACAGTAGCAAGAGTTTATTATGTGTAGCTAAATCCAGGATAGCTGCTCATTTAACTGGATAGCTGCCCAATCCAAAGCTTGAGGCAATCTACCAGCATGCAAGACAGACCAGCACTGACAGCAAACTCCCATACCTACTAATGGTCTTGCCCACATGCAAATTACATGTCATGACTCTATATAAATATCTTGTCCTACCAGCCTGGATTTAAAAGGAACAAGTGTTATGACCATGTCAGTTTAAAAGTCCATGCTCACACATTGTCCAAGTTTTTGCTGTTCAGTGAGCATTGCCAACTGCCCTGTGTCCCCATCCCCATCCCACACCTTTGCTACCCAGTTTAAACTTAACTTTGATTAAAATCTGACCATTTTTAGTTACCCAATACAGGGATCTCAAGAACAGCAAGCCCCACTGCCAATTAGAGAGTGTGCAGATGGTACACAAAAGCAAGCTAGTAATGCCCAGGACTTGACAGGGAAAAATTCCAGGATGGAGCAGGCCAAAAACATGCCAGACTAAAAAAAAAAAAGTAACATTGGTTCCTTCCAGTCCAGACCTGTAAGACAAAATGTTAAATCACAGGGCCATGAGATGTCCTACCCACATAAGTGTTACGCTTCTTTGTTGATATGATAGTTTGTCATCAGTGCTAGTATGTGGAAAGAACAGCCCTAAAAAAAAAAAAAATCCACACACCTCTCAGCTGGAACAATTCCAACCAAGCACTTACCCGTCTCACCCTGGGCTCAGGGGCAGGCACCAGTCACTCACACTCAAATTTGAGAGAAAAAAAAAATTTTTTGGGGCTGCATGCTAACACAAAATTCCCCAGCAGTAGCAATGCAATGCAAGGCTCTGGATAGGGCAGCTGTGTGTTGTCCCTTTCCCCCTGCATCCCCTCCCACCAACCAATAAGGAAATCTATAGAGTGCTTCTGTATCACTGGGGTAGGCACTTCATTAAAAATATCTTTATACAACCCTTCAGTTACTCCAAGGGAAAGCCCCCAGATCCTGGGCATTTCCTCAGAGGCATGGTAAGCACCAATGGAACTGCTCTCCTCCAAGTACTGAAAGCATTAGACAGCAATGCCAGCAACTTTGACAGAAGTCAGCGCAAATATTTGGAGCAAAGCAGAAGATTGAAAGCTTCTATCCCTATGGGGGAATAATTCCTGAGTGGCATGGCAGCTTTGGATTCAGTTTTTGCATCCTCTTCACTACAATATAATGAGAAGATTAGGTGACAGTATCTCACATCATACATGATTGAATCAATGATTAATTAGGGGCGGCACTTCAAGAGATAGGTTAACCTCTTTGGTGGGACTCCAAATTCAAACCTGTTTACTATAGGAAAGACTGTTTCAAAATTTCTCCCCCAATTTGGTCAGCACAAAGTGTCCTGTTCCACCATCACAAACATTCCCATGAGCCAATGTAGCACTTCAGCCTAGCTGTCTGCTGCAGAGGGGCCAAGCAACTACAGATACAAATCTTGTTCCGAGTAAACATTATCTGAGAAGGAATGTCCAAAGCTGCCCAAAGAACAGCTGTCTTTCATCACCTGTAGCCAAGCCAGAAGCCTGTAGCTCCAGTGTGCCTCACTGAAGAGTTCCAACATAAGACTCTTCCCAATGGATTCTTCCAGGCTCTTTCCGTATAAGTGTGGGAAATTTTTAGCTCAGATTTGGATCAGTCTGGTGGAGCTGCTCAGCTCTGCCTCCTAACAGCTCAGAGAGTTTTCCCTCTGGGACACCTCAAAAAAAAAGGCCTGGTTTCTTGACTAAGAAAAAAAAAAGGGAAGCAATGATGTACAGAATAGGAAATCCTCCACTTAGAGCTGCTGTAGAGAGGTGGATAAGTGAGGTTATTAAAAGGCAAGACTATTAGAAGATGCTGTAGGATAAATTCTTCTCCTTTCCCTGTTGGATTAGTTTTTTTCTGATGTGAACACTCATCACAGCAAATTGTATGCAGAGCTCCTGGAGTTCAAGCTATTCAGCAACAAGACCTCTCCTCTCGATTACTCCAGTCTTCTTGCTCCTTAGTTGTGTTCCAAAAGGAGAGAAACAATGGAAACCAAAACATGAAAGTAGGGTGAGAGAACAACTTCCGATTTCCCTCCGTTAAGGGGAGATAGAGTTTGTATATGGAGCATACAAAAATCTTCCAGTTTCTAGGTGGTGGCCACCTTGCAGCTATAAAATATGGTGCCTCTCACCACTTTGTCCTATGATTCGTGGGCTGTTCCCACCCTCACTTAACTGGAGTAATGGGGACAGACTAGAAGTTGCAGGTTACCAGGCCTGGTCCTCTAACCATTAGGGTCTCTCCCCATTCTCTCAGGCCTCTCAGCTCCCCTAGATGTTAAGGCAATGGTCAACAACCCCCAGCCCATGTGCCAGAGCATGGGTTGCGAGGCCATTTTACTTGGCACATCATAGCCAGCCAGGGCTCTGGGCAGCTGTCACCAGCCACAGAGCCCAAGCTGCTTGCAACAGGCAGCTGGGGAGGCTTCAAGCCCTGCTACAAGCAGCCCAAGTGTCCTGGGGAGCAGCAAGTGCCCACAGCCCAGGCCAGCTGCAGCTGGGAGGCTGCAAACAGCTGCACTACATTTCCCCAGCTTGGCTCTGTGGCCATGGCAACAGCTGCATGTCCATCCCCAGGCAGATGGTGGGGGAAGAGGTCTGAATGCAGGGGAGGGGCAGCACAATGCCAGCCTCTCCCCTCTTTTCCTACACAGATGTGCATGCAGCTGCCACAGAAATAGCAATGGTGCTCCAGACCCTTGTGCAGCTATCTGCAGCCTGCCCAGAGCCTGGCCTAGCTGTAGCAAGCACCTGGGAGGGTGTATACAGCTGCATGGTGCTCTGGACCCCAAGTTTCATGGCTGCAAACAAGTCTCCAAGTGGATGGTGGGCCAGGGTCGTGCTGCCTCAGGTCCCTCCCAGCTGTCTGCCTGGGGTGCACGTACAGCTGCCAGAGCCCAGCCAGGGCTCTAGAGTCCAGTGCAGCTGTTTGCCATCTCCCAGCTGCCTGTCACAGCCAACCCGAGCTTTGGGCAGCTGCAGCAGGCAGGCTGGAAACAGCTGCACTGGGCTCCAGAGCCCTAGCACTGGCTTTGTGCCAGCAATAAGTGTATGCACTTCTTGGGACACAGGGTGGGAAAGGGGCCAAGGCAACATAACTCTTGCCCCTCCCCTGCCATCTGCCCAGATGTGCATGTTCAACCACCACCACCAATGAGGATTGGTGCCCCTTATGGCTCCCCCACCATCCTGCCCCTGGCATGCCAAGTTGAGCCATGGGTCAGGGTTGCAGTGTTTTCATCACCTCTGGTCAAAAATGTTGCCAACCCCTAGGTTACAGTATACAAAAAATATTACTCAAAGGGATATATCACCTTGTCCCTTTCTGGGAAAGTATAGGTGTAATAAAATCCTGAGGTTGCTGAGAACCAATAGGCTGTTATAGATGATCCTGTGTTGACAGGAAAGTGTTCCAGGCAGGCCATAAAAGGACTTTTCTAAGCCAGGCTTAAACAATCAGTTCCCTCTACAGCCTTTGCGGCGCTTTAAGGATCTCTCCCATCATGCTTTTAACATTAGTGACCTCTGGTCCTTAGCAACATTTAGCTGGAATTCTGGTCTGAGATGGAAGCAGGGAGAAAAGAGCCAGCACAGCAAACCAAGGGAAACCAAATCCAGATGTTCCTGTTGCAACATCTGGGCCAGTTCTCCAGTGTGCTGCATCAGAGAACTGCTTCACACCCTGTACTGTGGATCTGAAGTAAAGCTGCTTCAGGGCTGAGCTTGGAAAGCAGAGCCCAGCAGGCTTCTTTCATTTCTACATATTGTAAGAAATTTAGCAAAAGAATCTATTTGACTACCTGAGGAGAAGTGGGAAAAGGAAGGAAATATCAGGTTCCAGCTTTTGAGGCACAAGCTCACTGAGGAGAGGACGATGAAACTCGGGGAAAGTCCCCCTTGTTAGATCAGTCTGTATGAACCAGAACAGGTAGGCACAGCCCAGCCACTAGCCTACATGTCAGTGGGGGCTTACATGACTGGGGAAAAGCAGCAGTTGGGCAAGAGACCCAGGTGAATTACAGTATTAGGGTCAGAGACACATGGACAGGGCTTCAAAGGGAAAAATTGGTATTTCATGTTAGAACCCTTTCTGCACACCCCCCAAATCCAGTTTCCCCATCAACAGGATACTTACAAAGAAGAGGAGGTTGAAGAGGAAGAGGAAGTACTTGGTAGCTTTCAGACAGCCTGACCCCATCTTCTTTCACTCACAGGATCTATAAAATAAAGCAACAAGACAAATTACATCAGCATATGGTCTCCTGGCCACTTCAAAGAGGCATCATATATAGCTGTTCATTTTTGCCAGCTGGGAACAGCCACATACCAGCCGGCTCTATAGGAGGACATTGCTTAAGCCAGCTAGTGAGCTGTTCACGCACTTCTGAATCACTGATGGTCAGTCTGGTGGTCCTCCCCAAAGTATCACCTCTGATAAGAGTTTCCTGAAGGATGACAGAGGGCCTAAACCAGTTGCAGTGCAACTTCAGGCACAGGAGAGATTTAACCAGACAAAAGCCTCTCAATTTCCATTTACTTTTTATATTTAAATTAGGCAGCTAACACTTCCTCTGCCAGGGAACAAGGTGAGTTTCGAGAGAAGTTTCTCCATCTTTTTCTTCATGTGGGCCCATTTGACCTCCTCGGTTCCCTAGAATACTCTTCCAACAGGCCTAAAGAGCGTTAGAAAAAGGATGCAGAACCCATAGCCTGTGGGGCTGAGAAGTTAGTTTAGAAGCTGGGTTCATTTGACACTCTTCCAAAGTAGTCATCCAGAGGAGCTGTAGTTCTGTGATTATGCTGTGCAGGTCAGTTACTTACGACAAGTAGGTAGCAAGTAGAGACTTGTTAAAAACTTATAGCCAGCCTTCCCCCCCCCCGCCCAATGTAAAAGTGGAAATGCTAGGATATGAAGACACAGATAGTAGTGCAGGCTCCAACACCTGCACCAGTGTAATGATTCAGGCCAAGCAAAAAAGACAGGGAGTGCAAGAGATTTTAGGACTTGCATCTGCAAATGCATTCCAGAGAGAACATGACAATAAATTGTTCCCTAGATTTGATTTAAAATCTCTTAGGCAGCATGATTCACTTAATATCTGGCTTGGCCTGCAGGTGAAATCATTTCAGAGCTACAATGCTCTGCCTCACACCAATGCAGATTCACCATGTGAATTAGCTTTCTGTTCAATTAACATTCCTACATGGGCAGTGTTCTAGAAGAGACAGCAGTGAGGTGCTATTTGGGACTGTATAACCATCAGACATTGTGGGGAAAAAAAAAGGCTTTATTTGGCAAGTGGTTCTGGGTACTACAGGTATCAAAATGACTGAAACCAAGTAAAAGGAATTCAGAAGAAACCAACAAAACTAGTTCAGGGTTCAAGTCAGTTTCCTCCTAAAGAAATACAGCTTGGCTAAGTGACAGATTTCAGAAACAATCTTATATTTCAGCTTTTTCCTCTTTTGATAGAACTACAATCTTCCAGTCCCCCAGATTTCACAGGAAGCTGGCAGCTTCTCAAAATACTTTGTAGCGCTGGCAATTGGCTGATATTAACCCAAACTCTTAAAGGGGAGGGACACTGTAAAAGGAGACTTCAGTACTTCCCTCTTGAGTCAGTGAGCAGCCAGCAAGCACTCACCCTCCCCAAGACCTACAGAAAGCTCAGAGATTTACAGCACATGGGATGTATGCAGCAAGGATCACTGGAACCTAGCAGGTTCTTCTGTTTCAGTCCAAGGCTTCTCTTTAATCCTATTAAATGCTTAGGTTAAATCTGGAGCCAAACTGGAATACAGATTATACTCCAGCTGGCTTTTGCCATCAATAGTCATTCCTGGAGTTCACAGTCCATTCTGTCTCTTTTGAGCTCTTGTTGAAGCTAGCAAACTTGTACCTGTTTCAAGATATTAGACTAGGTTTGGTCTTCTGCCCACTGATGGGTCCTTACTCTGGTGTTAAAAGTAGATATTGTATAGGATTCCATAGTGTGAACACACAAATGGTCAGAGCCCTTTCAGAAGGGGAAGGTTTTGTCAGGGTGCCAGCAGGTACATCTTAATTTTAGTATTTGTTCAGCTGGAATTAAAGTTGGAGCAGGTTTGCTGTATTTGAACTATTTTAACCTCTTCCGCATACAACCCAGACTGGCCATCAGCAAATTGTGGCAGAGACATGGTTTTGATCAACTCACATGTGTAGCTGGATAAAAGCTAACTAACAACCTGAAGCAAGTGCAATCTGGCTGGTACAAGCCACATGCAGGCCTTATGCCACTACGAGATATGGGCAGTTCAAACATTAATGTTTGATCACAAGACCCCATGAGATAGGGAGATCTTCCTATTTTATAGATGTAGAACTGTGACGTGACAATTAAGATAAACTTGCCCCGAGCACATACAGGCATATCTGTGGCAGCCAAGAATTTCTCAAGTCCCCACACAGTGCTAATTGTGTGCACATCCCTCCCAGATTCTGTGATATACAATAACCTCATTTCCAGTCTCTCAGAAGTCACCAGGCACTGGGCTCTAATTTGCCATGTCTGTAGACACTGCACATCTCATTACCAACATAGGCTTGCTCTACCTTTGGGAAAACACTAGCAAGTTTTGCTCCAGACTACTTGTTTGCATATAAGCCTTGACTGCTTTAGAGTAATTTCCCTGCTCCCACCAGAAGCCTGACTATCTAGGTCAAGTCAACAGAACACATTGTTCTCAATTTATAACTCTGGAGACTAGTTTTCCTTACCCACCCCCCAGAACTGGGACAGTCTAGCATGCAAGAAAAACAAGTCCCAAAAAACAACAAAACAAGTGTCATTCACACAGACCTCTAGCCACCTCTGAGGGAGTTCATCTCTAGGGCTCATTTAGCCTGGCAGAGGTCAAGGACACTCTTGTTGCAACAGGGATTACAGTCTAAGAGGAAGACTGTGAGATGTTTCCTAGACTTTTAGCCCATGACATTACCATGAGTACAACATGATTGCTACAAACCCAACAAGTGAACCACATGCACTCTTGCACAAGAAGTCCATCTCATTGGAGCTGTCAAGCAGCCAGCTCCCCAGATGCACTGAAGCTCTGTACATTAGAGATAAGAGACAGTTTAGCTAGCTAAAAAGATATCAGCTACAAGGTGCTGTGAACTACACTAACAAGGTTTTGTCCCAAGTAGTCACTCTCTCCAGAAGCCATTCACCTTGCTCTTTAAAATTCAGTGGATAACCTGCAGTATTCCTGATGTTGGCATTAGGTATTCACATGGCCATTTAGCCAGTCCTAGTGCTCAGGAGAGCCTTATATGTTGTAGGCACTAACGTATATGCAAGTACTACCAAGGAGTTGAGAAGAGTACTGTAGGCAAACCCCTAAAGAGGCACAGGTTTGAGCAATAAGGCCCTCCTAGTGAGGGAGGGAGTGGGGCTGGGGCAAGCCCTGCCCAGCTGGGGCAGGGTAAGTGTGGGATGGAGCCATGGCTCACCCAGGGGTGCAGCTGCCACCACTGCATGCCCCTCATCTGAGAACCGCTTGTCCAGCAGCTCCCGCCGCTGCTCCCTGGGAGGCCATGCCCCGAGATCTGCACAGGACAGGCTGGGGCCAGGGGCTGTGCCAGGCTCTTTCTAGCATGGGCTGGATTGTGCTCAGAGCAGGTAGCAGCAGTGCTGTGAGGGGTTTGGGGGTACAGCCCCCCCATAACCTCCCTCCCAACACCACTGCCACCCACCCTGAGCACAGCCTGGCCCAACCCCCACTGGGAAGACCCCAGCACAGCCCCAGCCCAGCAGCAGCTCACTGCAGATCCAGGGGGCACATGCCTGCCCCTACCCACACCATGCCTTCCCAGGGTGCATGCAGCAGTGACAGCCACCCCCACTCCCTGCACCCTCCAGACAAGCCACTTGTAGCTGTGTCCTGCACCCTGCCCCAGTTGGGCAGCACCTGCCCCACTCCTTCCCCCACCACAGGGGCCCCAATCTGCGCCCCCCACCATCCTTTCCATCAGAGTTACCAGCTAGACACTACTTTTCACACTGCCAGGCTAGTATCAGAAGTAGGATCAGTATCAGCAGATATGCCTCCTTAAAAATCAGCCATCGGTATCAGCTCTAGAAATCTCTATTGGCGCACCCTTAAGTAGGCCCTTGTTTGAGGCTCTCCCACTCCTAGAGTTGCTTTTTAAACCATACCAAGCCCACAGCCATAGCCAAACATTTATCTAAAATTCTGTAACACACGAGTTCTCCAATCTTATTAGGCACTTCCTCCTCTTATCTCAGCAGTGTAGCACATTCACAGATAATGAGTCAAGTTCCAAGGTGTTTCTCTGGGGAAAAGCCACCAAAAATTCCAATCTTCCTCTCACGCTAATAAAAAGCAACTCTTCAAAAAGCAGTTTTCTGACCCAGAACAGGTGCTGGCAGGAGAGGCAGCCTTGGGGAAAAAAATTGGCCTCAGAGTGCAACAAAAAACACTGGTTTCTGCTTGTACAGACTTTCCCCCTAAACTGGCTTCACAATAGCCTCCCCTCCTGCCAACCTCAAACAAACAAGAGAGAATACACACCACAGCTTTTGATCAATGCATTTTGGTTTCTGAACTTTTAAGGTTCACTGAAGCAATGGTGGAAAGGAAGCCTGAAGTGTGGGGGTTAGCAATTTATTTTTACTAATTAATAAGGAGGGTAGTTTCCCACCTTCTCCTTAATGACTCCTGGCCCCACCTCATGGAGTCCTTACAGACACAAGACTTGTGAATGCTAGCAATACTGGAATCCAGAAGCAGCACCAATTAAGTTAATCCAGTTTGCTGGGAAGATGACAGACATCACTTATCTGTCCATAAGAATATCCAGTTCCCTCCCTTAAGTCACGTGGCCATAGTTCACAGACTAACCTCAGGTAAATCCTGAGGCTAGGGAGACTGCAGATCTAGCACCTTTGGGTTCCCACAGCCTGGTTCCTTTCCCTACATTGAGGGCAAAGCAGCAGTCTGCATAGGCCAAGTAGTAACAGTTATTTCCTCTGTTCCCCCATTCAACCCACATCCAGGCTCAGGGGTGCAAAATGTTGGTGATCGTACTGGAAGACCCAAAAGACTGGTAGTGTTCCTGCTTTAAGGCTGTAAAACCAAATAGCTAGAGTACACAAACAAGGGGCAGCAGAACCAGAAAACCACCCCTCAGTTACATTAAGGTGAGAAGGCAGC